TTTACCTTTACATATATTTCTTAGACTTTACAATTATACTGTATATTGTTGATACTGTAAGCTGGCCCAAGAATTTCCCTCTGTGTTAATAAAGTCTTATCTTATCTTATCTTAAAAACCCAAAGCCCATAAAAGTAGCACACTGTCCTATCAGGGTTAACCCTAACCCCTCAACATCCATCAATATTTAAAATCAGATTAAACATTATCCAACTAAACAGGGGATTAAGTCAAACGGCCTCTTCAGAAGCCATCGCAACACATGATCCTTGTTTGAACAGTATCAACTGCTCATTGTAAGTCGTCTACCACGTGCAGTGACGTTTTTGTCTCTGCTGAGTTTTTCCACAACCTAACAGACATTGCTCTCGACAGGCCAGACAAAATGTCCCTGCTGTTTTGCAAGGGAAAATGTGGCATTGTCCCTCCACGGCAGTCCCCTTCTGGGTGTGAATGGCCATCTAATCAAGCTCTGCCTTTCACTGCAGCTGGTTTACAGCGAGCAGCGGGGCTGACCTCTGAGGGGCCCGCCTCCCCCCTCCCCGTCCTCTGGGACCCTTCAACAAGCTTTAGAGGCCAAATGAGGTGTAAGTCTATTAAAAGGGAGTTTGTGTGTAGATCACGGTCCCTCTGGGGGTGGGAGCCTTTGCCTTGTCATTCAGGTGCGGCTAATTTCCTTCTGCTCCACACGCAGACGTGAGGCCTGCCAGTGGTCGTCATCGCGCTCAGAAGAGACCCGCTGCTAGAATTTCAAATGACAGCTTCTCGTGGAGGCAGCAGGTGATTTATTAAAACAGAGTAGTGAAACAAAGAGATGTGGCCTTACTGTTGTGGATTATATTCACAGTGAATACAGTGTAGCTGTGGCGTGTTCAGAGTCTATGATCCAGCTCATTTATGAGGCGCATAGATAGTGTAAATATCACTGGATGCAAATTAGATGGAAAAACAAACAGCAACATTTTTTTTTGTTCGCATGTTTCAAAAAAAGTCTAATTCGGGTGGAGTTTTGGGACGTGAACAGAGCCGTAATGACAAACATTTGATCGAGCAAACTGCTGCTTGTTGAACTGAAACAGAAAGAGAGAGGCTGTGGAAGCTGACATGCAGGAAAAACGAGGAACGGAGGAACAAGGCCACGGGCGATGCTTGAGTGAATACGAGTTAGAATTTGAGGCATAAATTGATTGGAAGTGAGGGTTGTCAGAATAACATGATGTTCTACCAATCAGGGTCCCATAAAGAGATCTGATTATCGCAGTACCAGAGAGGTACCTTCAACCTCGCAGCTCCAAACACAGACACAAGCAGAGTGCAGCAACAAAACACCTGACAGTTACAGTGCAGTCAGGACAGTGATGTGATTTTCTACGTGGTGGCTCTGTGCTTCAGCGTACTGGACTTGAGATAAAGCGAAGACAGTACCAGGTTTAAGTCCTGACAAATTCCAAGTCATTGTATCGCTGTGCAGTTCACACTATAGGTGTCGGGAGTCTTGCAGTTGCAGTGAGTTCAGAAAAAGTCTAAAATCAGCTTATGTTTCTTTAAAATCTGTGTGATGATCAGACTTTTTCTGTATCTTGCCCCATCGGAATAATTTACAAATCTAACTTAATATATTCTTTCAAGTTCAATACTTAGTGAGCACTTTACAGTCATAGTGAGTATACAGAGCAAACACAATGACAGATTTACCACTGTCCTTTGAGCTCACTGTGTGAGGACTCAAATTACTTCTGCACAAGTGAAAAGACTTCCTCCAGAACAGATCTCTCTGCACACCTGAGTTGTTCTTTATCTCTTTAGCTTCTTCAGGTTCGCGCACGAATACGCTCAAGCAGAAAGACTAATTTCCTAAGACCAGGCCTGCACCTTATGCATAATGGATCACCTCTGAATCATAAAAGCAACTGTGCTTGATGATGAAGAAAAAAAGTGACATACTACTGGATTTTTGATTAACCCCTTGAGCCTCCCTCAGAACAGACTGACCTGATATTTGGCTGAGGAAGAGCTTTTCTGAATCAAGCATTGACAGTGTTTGTCAGGGGGGACCGGGGTCAGCCGAGCAGCATTAACCTCTGGGAGACCATCTCTGTGCAGTGCATTAGTCACATGGAGGAGGAGGAGGGACGTCCTGTAATAGATTATTGACCAGCGGGCAGCGGCCTGCACCACACCATGTGGTCCTAGCCAGCAACTGACCTCTTCATCACAGATGGAAGAGCCCACCTGCAAACTGGAGGGGACACACATACATCCACAAACTCCCATGGCAGCATAACCCTGGCGACTAATGACAAACACACATGAGTAATATTCTCTGTTTGGTTGCAAGATAGTTAGCAGGACAAGGAACCTGAGGGGTATGAAACCATATTCATTCATAGCTATAAAATGGGAGTCCTTGGCTCATCAAATTGAAAGTGTTGGGGAAACAGCAATTGCTTCCATGAACTTAGACTACCTAATTAAAGGCAGACAATTTCTCTCCGAGAGTCACACTCAGGATCTTTAATTGAAATCAAAATGAATATGGCTGGAGCACAGAGAGCGGGGTGGAGCGAGAGCTGGGGGTGGGGACGGACCACGTTCTCTGCCAACTCGTCTCGCTGTCAGCTTGTGTGACTTCATGTTTGATTTCCTGAAAATAAAATGTAAAATCAACCTTTACACTTTTTGCTAATGTTTTAAAGCAGCTAAAATTCCCAAAAGTAAGAGAGTAAAACAAACCAGAAGACAAACCCACAAAGACAAGAGCATCTCAGAACCATTGCCAATATCATCTGTGCTCTGTTTCCCTTTGGCTCAGCCTCACTGTTTTTTTTTGTTTTTTTTTAATTGTTTGATAATTCATCTCCAAGCTCTAATTTACCCCCCATCGTCAGCCCTGTATGTTCAACCATCGTGTGAGACATTCAGCTGAATTTCAAATGAGCTGGTAGCATATAAAGCCTCTCTTCCAGGGAAAAGCACCTATTTATGGGCATGTTTGTTTTCCATCAACATTAACCCTTTGGCGAGGAACGTCCGTATGCCGCCTTTTCAAGAGCAGTCCAAGGAACGTCCTTGGGCGGGGAGTCACACTGTTTCAGTTAGTCTGGCGTCTCAGTGACTCCCAGGGTGAAAATACTAGATAATTAATGCGAGTACCAGTAGCTGGTTAGCTTAGCTTTGCACAAAGACTGGAAACAGGGAGAAACAGCTCTGTCCAATGTAGCACTGAGTGTTTTCTGATAAGAGACAAAACTGAACTGTTTCCAGTTTAAGAATGCAAATAAAGACACTTTCAGACATGAACTTTGACTTTCACATATGAAGAACGCAGCTGGAGATTTTTCGGGTTAGTCTGTAGAAACCAAGGAGAAGTCGATGTGTGAACACAGCAGGTGATCCCTGCTTGATTTACCACAAAAGAGTGGGGGGGTTGATGACGCTTTAATGCATGACAAAAGGAAAACAAATATCTATATATAATAAGAAAAGGGAGATAGTACGTCACTTCCTGCCTCTGCCTGCACTCGGCTGATCCACCTCTCGCCTGAATAATGCAGAGGATTTGTTGCTGTTGTGAACGCGTCTGTGCAGAAAACCTCCCGCTGCGTTGTGCATGTGTGAAAAGCAGACTGTGGGTAAACACTGTAACCAAATCTCTTCTCACATACAACCCCACCAGAAATATTTCTGGTAGATATCGTAAAGGTAAAAGGATTT